CCTATGTGGATCTTAATTGTTTATTTGTGGATGATAATAATGTTTTTATCGATCCCCAAAAGTGAAAGATATAAAGAGTGCTATTGCTAATACACAGTGCCATGCATATGGACAGCAAATTACAAGACAATGCTTGACCCTAGAAGACACTAAGAATTCCTCAAGGCATTTACTAGCTATCACTAGTTCTCTCCAAACTGAAAAGTATAAACAATGTCATGAACATTAGTTCATCTTTTTGTTGTTTCTACTGAACCTTAATAGCTCTGCTTGGACAGAATTTATACTCATCTCTAGCTCACACAGGCAGCCACACAGGGGAGGTTGGAAAGGGTGCAACTACAAAAAAATTCCCAGAGCCCATGGTATCCAGGCCAATGTGCTCCTTTCGGATCGCTGGGCTAGTTGTTTGAAAAAGTCCTACATTAATCCAAATAGCCAGTATTACAATGCAAGGATCTCTATAGCTCTGAGTATCTTGAGAAGACGCTGCACTGAAAGCTCCAGCATGTACTGTAGGTAGGAAATGTCATTTCATAAGCCAAATATATCAGAGGCTTGAGGGCAAGGCAGTGCAGCTGTCTAATTAAGTGCTAGCTTTAGGATAGGACACATAGGCAATGTGAGCCCCCTTCCCAGGCTGAATCAAACGCAACATTTGGAAGAGCATTTGGGCTAATTAGTATGGCATGCTGTGTCTATCCAGAAACAAAATGAAGTAGAGTAGATTTAAAAGGAATCATGTGTCATAAGTGGAAAACGTTCCTTATAGGTGATGTCTCAATCACTCTTCTCATTGTTGATGTACAGTACAAAGGCCTGCAACTTAAAGGAGAGAAGGGTTACTTTGGCTTGTGGTTATCACCCACACTTCTCAGTGTTGGAGGGATCTGGCGGAAGAAAGCTGCTCACATCATTATGGCCAGAAAGCAGGGAAAGAAGGGAGGAGCCAGAGGGGGAGAGGTACCCTCCAGGTCACACCCCCAGGGACTCCCTTCTCACCAGACCTCATCTCCTACCAGCCAGTCAGTCAGAAACCCCATAATCCACTCACCATCCAAAAGCCCTGCCTCTGAGTGTATGAAACTCAGGAGAGACATTCCAAATTCAAACAGCAGTCGATAAGGTAGAAAAGTCTTGGGCCAGAAGCTGAAAGCTGAAATTCCTGACTGCCTCTTCCCATGGCAGAGAGAAGACGGACAGGTAGAGGAGGCACAGTGACAGCTGTCTCTTACTGACCCCTGGATAGCCCTATTGCAATCACTTCCTATTGACTTCCCATATATGTCTACCTGGACTGGACCAGAACAAGTCAAGAAAGCTTGCTTTTCAGAACAGGGGCTCATGTGTCACACAGAGGATCCCCCTTTTTTCTGGGGCAAGAATATCATCTTGGCCCTTGACAGCAATTCTGTGGAAGGCTCACATCCGAGGAATGAAAATTTGAGCCAATATATACATATTCTCACTCCAATTAAATTTTACTTTTAATATTATGTTTGGATTGAAGTCCATGGTCTTCAGAAACCATTTTTGCACATTCCATGGGTGCTACTACAAAAAATAGAGCAAACCTGGAGCTACTTCCCCCAAAAGATAGTGACCACAACAACTACCATTGCAAGGTAACAGCATTCCATCCACTTAGCCACTTTCCTTCTTATGCTTACCCCATGCACTTAGTTCCATGCCCTGCATACAAGTAACCATCAAATGCAATCTGTCTGCTTCACATAGCTGCTAACTGCAACACCCACATACACAGTGTGTGGTACAGCCCAGTGGTTAACGTTCAGTCACTGCTTCACAATAGAGGATGATGTCCACAGAAGTGAAGAATTAAAACTGGAAATAATCTTAGGTATGACTTATTTCGAGCATCTCATTTTAAGAAGAAAGACACCAAGACTCAATGAGGCTAGGTAAATTGCCCATTGCCTCGCATCCTGCCAAAGTTAGGAACATAAAACCAGGTGTGCTCACTGTGATTCTGCACTCCACCCTGTGCTGCACGTGACACACAGGCTTGTGCTCCACTGCGCTGTGTTGTGCTCACTTCCTTTAACAGGTGCGCCTCGCCCCCATTTGACCATGTGCTCCTTAAGGAGAGATTCATCACCAGCTGCTGGCACAGCCAGCAACACATAATGCAATACCAGTAAATAGCTGTTGAGAAAATGAGTAAGTGGCTGGAGAGATGGTACATGCTTTTCCCCGTCATGTACAAAGAAATCAGGGCTGTAATTTTGAACAGTCTCTACTAGTGCTTGATCAGACTAGTAATGGCGAAGGATGCAGAAGATATTAAAGGAGTGAAAACGTAGGAAAAAATAATGTGAGAAAGTATCGGGGGAGAAAAGCGTGTAGGATTTTGTAGGAGTCATAGTCAGACAAACTCAGCTTGAATAGACAAAATTTCTAGATTGAATCCTGGGAGTTTTTGGCAGGACATTTGTCTCTTAGGTTCTTTCCTAGTTTTACATAAGTAGATCCCACCCTTGCCGCTCTTCCTCAGAGCCAGGAATGCAGGTGACGTCCTGTCAGAAGCCAAGTTTCCATCACACTTCCCCACAGAACTCCTTCCACCCACTGATCACATATTCCAGGCCCTTGTGCTGCTATGATTCCTGTCACAGAGGAAAACACACATGGCATGGGATGGGCCAGCTTCTGGAATACAGTGACCCCCATATCCTCAACCAACTGCAGACCAAAAATACTACCCTAAGGGATAAAGAAAAATTACATGGCATAGAACGTGAACAGACCTTTTTCTAATCATTAGCCCCCAAACAATTCAGGATAACAACTACTTACATAATATTTACATTATATTAGGTACTATGAGTATTCTAGAGATGACTGAAAGTGTATGGGAAGATGTGTGTAAGTTGTATGCAAATACTATGCCATTTTACATAAGTGACTTGAGCATCTGCAGATTTTGGTAGCCGCAGGGGTCCTAGAACCAACTGCCTACAGATACAGAGGGAAGGATAGCTGTGTTTTCCATTCAGAAACCTTGTACCAGGAAATGCAAAGGATTGGCTACATGTATAGCAGCATGTCAGACTGAATGACAAGCAAGCGGAGGGGGTGTGTATAAGTTGAATATATCTCTCCTTGCAAATTATACAAAGTCAATAAAAATGAAAGTTAAAAATCCAGTAACCAACCCAGTAATCAGTGTTGGCCCAATATAAGTAATCTGACTCCCTTGCTTGCTTTAGAAAAGCAAGAAAGAAACAAAGGATTCAGGAGTCCTAACAGTAATGACTTGGGACTGGAGAAGGGCGGCAACAATACTGGACACCCAGAGGAGTGACTCCTGGTTGGAGGGTCACCTCAGAGTGCTTTTCAGTGCCTGAATGATCAAGTGTAGAGAGCTGGCTTACTCCAGTCCATCAAAAAGTCTAAAAGGGAGACCAGAAATGCAGGCTCTGGGTGGTACCACTGGACCACTTCCAAACAACTTGTGTAATCCACTTGTCCTTACTGAGTTTACCAGTGACAACAGTCATCTGATTGGGTAAATTAGGCTAAGGACCAATATGGACATGCATCTGAAACCGTTTAGAACTCTGCACATCCTTCCAGTCAGTACTATGAGGTGTGATTGAAATACGCAGTGACTGTTTATTTTTTTAACATATTATAGTAAAAGACATTGATAGTAACCCCACTAAAAATACTCTCCTCAGTGTACCCCATCACTCTCGCCACTTTCTGAAGCAGTCATGGTCATCCTCTTTCATAGTGTCTTTACAAGATGGAACAAAAATATGGTGAAAGCTGCCACTAAGTGCCACTCAACCAAAAAGGAGCTCGTTAAAATATTACTGGGTCCTCCTCCTCCTTCCTCACCAGATGGCAGCCTGTGTCTCTGGCCCTTTATCAAAGTAAAAATGACCATGAAAGGAAAATATTTTGAATCAACTTGCAACACTGAGGCAATCACAACAGTGCAACTAACAACCCTCAAGAAAGGATTTCCAGAAGAGCTTCAGAAAATGGCAAGAAGGATGGGAGAAGAGTTTGAAATGAGGGGTATTAACGGCAGTGTGTTTCTACTGTCAGAGAGTTTTAACTTAAACATTCACTGTAGTTTTAAATCACACCTTGTATATGTGACTGCATGGACCATCCTCAGCCTTTCTTACTGCCCTTCCAAACTCCTCCTTGAACACACCAAGAACACTTCCATGTTTATGGTTTTTACCCTGCTATGTCCTTTTCTTGGTGTGATCCTCATCTTTGCTCCCATTATCTGGGAGACCTTGCTTGACCAATGTTTATGTCTTAACCATCTCTATGTCCAACTCTTCAACCTTGACAGAGACAGAAATTTTGGTCCTTTTGATAAGTGATAGACTCCTAGTATTTGAAGAATGATTGATACATAGTAGATGCTCCCAAAAACAGATGCTAAAGAAGTTAGCATAGATCTGACAGAGGAAAAGTCTTCTCTCATGATGCCTGGAGAACAGTTTAGGAAAATGTTTTGGATGCCTTCATAGATGAAGTCACTCACCTACGCTGCATCTGGTTTCTACTTGGAAATCCAAGGAGACTTGGAGAAAGGGACATATCGGGGTGAGCAAGACAACAGCATTATCATTCAGTTCCCATCAGGGCTCCAAGCAACTCTTAGCAAAGCTGTCCTCTGAAATACAGCCCTAATTTGTGCTTTATGGAAAATCAAATAAATTATTTTTCACCTGAAGGGAGCAGGATTATTTGACTTCAGATATTTGCCATATGGCTTTTCTTTCCCACAATGTAGCTTTGAGGCTTAAGGTAGTAAGAGCAAGAGCATGCCTATAAATTATTCAGAGATAATTCAAAGTAAGCGTGCATCCGTGACAGACTGTCAAGTTTCTTAATGCTTCTTCCAGGTAACAATTGCTATGTTTCTGATAAAGTGTTGCTTGTTTCTCACCACACTTTATTGTTTTTCTGTTTTGTTTTGTTTGTTGTTTGTGTTTGTTCTCCCCCCACAGAGTCCAGTCTGGCTCTTATCTCAGCACGGGGTGGTTCACCTTCATTCTGGCCATGGATGCCTGTTACGGCATCCGTGTCTACGGGATGATAAATGACACCTACTGCAAGTAAGATCACAAGAAATTATTTTTATGCAGCTCCAATTCTGATATCTTGTCAAAATATCACAATTCACTGTAATGTCATAAATCTGAGAAACAGATAAAGCAACAATTATTTTCTGGTGTTCTTTGCTGACATGACATTTTATTGTCAGTGCATCAAGTTGTGACTTCTGGAGGTGATAAAAAGAAAAATATTTACCACAATCTAATGTCAAATGTCAGAAGGAACACTTTTCCCTTAATCAGTGGCATATCGGGGACTTGTGGCTTGGAAACACAGCACAAATTTAGCAGTAATTTAATTTGCAAAAGCAAGTTTGTCATTTCTGCTGCCCTAATGGCTCAGTATATGGCTATCTATCTGATCACAAAGGACAAAATGTCCTGCAGCCTCAGAGAAACTGACAGTTTAACAAGTATTCCTGGAAATTGTATTTCACTAATAAGTGAATAATCTGCCAGGTCCTCTTTAAAATGAATGTGTTTATCCACAGCATATCCAAGCTAAGGGACACTTTATAGTTAGATAATAAAATAAACCGTCCCGCTTCATTGGGGTAGTGAAATATATTTCTCTACCAACAATTGGCACAATATAATACAGAGAGTATTTTAATCATATTGTGAAAAAGGTAACTCTCATCCAGGAACAAATATTCCTACTGCATCTGTAAGAATAATGGAGAGCTGATAAGCCTGAAATCTTACTCTGAACAATCACTGAAGTTTCAAAGTTCTGTAAGAGCATCAACTACTGAGAGTTTGCTTCCATTAGACACCATTTCCTCTTTCAGAGGATAGCCACATGTGTGAATGTAATTGGTATGATATATAATTTTATTTGATCTATTAACACACTAAGGACCTGGTACATCTCCCTAAAAGCTTTCATACATAATAGCTTTTAACTGAGTTCATCAACAAAAATCATCTCTAGGCTTACAAGTAAATGCATTTACTGGGCACATAATGGGTTCTTGCAAAGGAATGCTTCATTTTTCATCTTAATCTGCCTCCTGTTTTCTTCTTTTCTAGGACAGAAGGATATAGAAAAGTCCCCTATCATTACTATGAACAAGGAAGAGATGAGTGCGATGAATATTTTCTTCATGAACATGCCCCATACGGGGGACACAGATTTATCACTGAAAAGAAAGTGTTTGCCAAATGGGCTAAGAAACACAGAATAATATTTACACATCCAAACTGGACGGTATCTTGATGTTGGTTTGCCAAGCTTGCCACACCCAACTAGGGTACTGCGAGTGTGGTGCTGTTGGTGCCAGTGATGATGATGGTGTCGATTAAGATGACAACAATGATGATGACTGAGTTCCTCTACATCCTGCAGTATGGGTGGTGACTCTGGCAGTAATTCGAACTTGGGATTCCACGAGGATAGCTGTATTCATTATGCTCTTCCTGAAGGTCCAATACTACATAGTGCACTTTATAATTTAACTGGAATTGAAACAAAGACCAATGATGTAACAACTGTGACTCAAGAAATGAGAAGGTTGTCTTTCAAGATAGTTGCCCAGAACTTTCAAAAATGATGGAATTTGGCCTCATGGTGCAAGGTTATAGAGTCCATGGCTTCTTGAACCTGGACAGCAGCAGCATCTTGAAAAATGAGTGACTATTAAACACTGTCCCAAGAAATGCTATCAGGGTACAAGTATCTTACCACAGTTACTAATGAGCCTGAGGTAGAGGAAGGTATCTCTTTTTGATGCACCATCTTTCTGTGGTATTTCTTACAGAGAAACTCTCAGGCCATTACTCAATTATCAGTGAAGACATCCATCAAGGAGGTTCTACTCATCGGGATTTCTTGACTCTCTCAAACACTTCATTCAAGCTGTACTGCGTAGAAAATCTTCAGGAATTTCTACTCTGATCATTTCATTCTTACTACTTAAAACAATATAATTAAGGGTCTATATTAAAGTTGTTATTTTTTGGTTGAGTCCTAAATATTTCTGGAGGCTGTTTAACATGTAAGATACCAACTTCAACACTGTAATAATGTATACTGTGAAAACATGCCTAAAACGTAACCAAAGGGTTTCCCAGCTCTGCTACATCTAACAACACAAAATTACACGCATTTTAAAATCATAAGGGAAAGCAAAGCATATTTTTACATCATTTGTATCCTATCATAAGTCATAATATATATATATTTGTATGTTCAAATTTCTATTTTATAGACCAAGGATGTGTCTCTCCATACATTACATGATCCATGCCAAGTATCAACTGTTTGACGTGGCTGATTTCCTTCTATTAGATCTCACCAGAGCTTTTGTCTTTGTGGGGCTAATTTTCCCCATAGTGTGTTAATTGTTATATCATTCTAACAGCAGTAGTAATGACCTTAATGTCCAAAGTGCTTTGCCATTTAGAGCGTTTTCCTGTGTGCTATACCATGTGATGCCCTTGACTGCCTCGTGGGATAATTGCCTGTACATTCCTTGTTTCTTCAGCAAATAATCTATAATTTGCTGACTGCTACAATATAGTTCAGATTGCTCTATTTGCTAATATTTGTATAGAATAGCATGTCTGTAAACTAGTAACCAATTGATTTGAGTGCCAAATACAGCATATTATATTAAAATTATGCAAAAAGTTCCACAAGGACAGCGTTGGCCATAGATTAGGACTCTTGTGAACTTTTGATATATTTGTTCTTTTGGTAAATGACCGTTTCAAGGAAAAAAGATAAGAAAGCAGGGGCAACAGGAATGAATGAACATAGAAAAACACACTTTCATTTTCCAGGATTGCAACAGTTTTGTTCTTCATGTACTAACAGACTCAGTAAATATTAGAGAGTTGATTCACTGAGAGACTAGAGACTACAAACCCATTCTTATACGATGCTTCAAAAAACAAAAACCAGGCTCCATTTACAGAATGCTTTAGAGGCGGAGACTATGATGTATTTCACCTCAGGAACACTCGACGAATTTTTATCAGTGCAAACCACTATGATGAGTCATCGTTAAAATGTAAAAGTTTCTCTCCTGCTCTCTTCTGCCATTTGGGACCCCAGTACTCACCCTAAAATTTACCAAGCCCGGTTTCACCATCAGTAGAGAGAGCTGTTATTCTTTGTAGTTTCCTTATGTGATTTTCAGTTACATGAATGCTAGTTTTTCAGAGCTAATAAAGAATAGAATGCCCACTTAAAGAAAAATGTATACAAATACTAAAATTGTAATGCAGACTGTTTTCTCCCTTTTGTAATATGGAAATTCCACTTTTAAATAAAAAGGAATCTTTGATTAATCAGAATGGTCAGAAAACAACACAGCTTGATTTATTTACTTTCCTAGTGAATGGGTAGTCCACTCTGTTTTAGCCCTTACTGATGAGAAACAAAATATACTTGCTTTCTTGCATCATGACAGTTGAGGTCATGGAGAACTTTGACTGTAGCCCTCCAGGATCCCTGAGTGTCTGGACCAGATAGACTGACTGATGTTAGCTTTGAGGGCAGGAATGGGGGTTCCCTCCTCCCTTCTTTTATTTCTTTCTTTCTTTTTTTTTCACTAAACCTATTCCACATACTTTACTGTTGCCACCTTTTGTCTCTCTTTTTTGTCAGTTGCTAAACAAAAAATACTTTATTCTCAATTTAGAGATCCAATTGAATTGATTTCCAGTGTAATCAGAACTTTGATAGAATCTCATGACTTCCTTTCCTCTGTAGTCTTCATTTTCTCTGTTTCCATTTCCTGTTCTTCAGTATTCCAGCTTCATAATTCTAATGCAAAGTCTAGAAATTTTTCCATCTCAGATTTGCTAATAGAGAAGAGAGAGGCAAAGGGACAATTCAAGGGGAATGCATTGTCATGCAAATTTATAGTCCATTCCTCAGGTTCTAGCAACCAGCAAAGATTTCATGCAGCATCTAAACTTTGGAAAATGCAATTGAATGCATTCCTTGCAGTACATACACAGCCTAGACCTTAATTATTACCTGTGGAAAAAAAGTTTCAATACCATCTAAGGCTCTGGGCAAGTCTATGGCTATGATTCTCTAAAATTATCATAAAAACATGCAATTTAAGATGAAGAAAAATTTTATTGCTAATTGTGCAGAATCCTAAGAAAATCAAGAGAATTTTTAAAGGATTTTGAAATGAATGTTTGAAGCTCTAAGTTAATCTAGAGACAAGTATTAATGATGTGCATAATTATCACATTTAACATGTGATTTTACAGGCTACCAAACAATCAAAAGAAAATCAATATGAGTGAATCAATTGGTGTGATTATATTTATGTTCACAGTTATTCATATATACTAATAGCTATATTTATGCATACATGTAATCCTATATTTTCTTCTGGTGTGCTTGAATTACAGAAAACTCTAATTTAGACACATCTGAAATTTGTTTGGTTTCATTTTGAATTCTGATGAAAAAGGCAAAAATCCAAAGTAAATGTACTGATTGCTGAGAGGACAGAAAATCACATTCAATAGCTGACCAGAAGAATAAAGCTAGCAAAGACACTAAATCTAGTACTGAGAACACAATTAGATGCCACAGTTGTCACAAATCAGACTTGAAAGTATAGCAATCTGTATAGTGAGGTTCTGCCAATTGCAGCTTAGTGAAAGTCACATTGAAAAACATTGCATCAGGCTTCATTCATGCCGCAGTAAATGAACTGGTCCTCCTATTCAAAAAAAGCCGGTCTTTAGCATAAGCTAAACACAGATTTGCATGATTTTTATTATATAGCTGAAGAACTGTGGCCATCGTGAAAAGAGAAAATTACATAAGGAGATTGCTCTGTGAAGATTTGCAATGAATCAGCTGGTTTGGAAGCAAGAGTCTGAAATGGGGACCTGCTGACCATTCAAGAAACATAAGGCCCTTAGAAGGGAATTACTCATAGTTTCTTTAGAAGAAAGACTACTCAAGTACTTAAGACACCACTCAATTAACTGCTGATGTTAACTACGAGGTCAGTTTAATTTTGATAAGCAAGAAGATACAAACAGGTAGCTTATTAATATGGTCCTTTTGCATTTAACATGGCATATCAGATTCAAAGAACCAATGATGTTGGCTCTCATCAGTTGTTCTTGAATCCTAACACAAGTAAATTGCATATCCAGGACCAGAAGGAAAAGTGCTTTGTTCTTAAGTGTGCTGCTAAAAACAAGACCTCATTGTTTTGATAATGTATGTATATTCAATGACTGAAGGACCCAGCCCTTCCTTTGTAAGTAGCCTAAGCTTTTAGAGGTGACAGGCACTTTAAAGACCAACTAATCCAACCTCTCTACCTTGAATTTGAGGAAATAAATGGATAGAAGTAAACCAATTTGTCTTTGTCTGTAGCACAACTGATGGAAGTACTTGGACCCAAATTCTTGTCTGCTATTTCCTCTAAGACTTTTCCACATTATTTTAAGCACAGACTAATCCCTGGGAAAATGCATGTGCGATTTACCAAAGAACTCACATTTATAGAAACAAAAGGCTCATGTTAATGTTGATTCTACTCAGGATTCAATCCTAATGGTCGAGTCATCCCTACACTGATGATTTGCTGGGTGGGGAATTATTCACATAATTGAATGAATGTCTCTTGCTAGTTTTCTCCATTTTCATTCTTGTTTGTTGCTAAATCCAGGCCATATTCTAACGTCATGAAATTCTGAATGCAGCATAATGAGGACAAAGGTGAGATTCCTATTCTGTGACCCTGAGGACACACCAGGAGCCCTTGGCTGATGGAAGTATCCTAGTGAAACTGGCAGACCCTGTTGCTGATGTATGCCCAGAGCAGAAGTGTCCGTCCTCAAACCACATGGCCATCTGGGTTAGGGAGATTCTAATCAATGCTGTCTAATGAAGGGCACCTGAAGTTTACCGGCCCACCTCTGCACTACAAGTGATGTCGGAGCCCACATCACCCTCTGGACAGTGACACAAGCCGCAGATGTCCCACAAGTCCCAGCCATCATGCATGACTGAAACAGGTTTTTGTCTTTTCAGTCCACTCGTATGACCCTGTTAGAGTTGGAAAGTTTTTAAACCATGGGCACTGGTTTCTGGAAATGTTTCCAGCAGCCTAGAAACAGTGTACTGTTCTGTTGCTTGTTTTTACTGTACCTTAGAGATATCACCAGAATAAAATTGCATATAAATTGCAAAGGTATCAAGTCAGAACTGTCCTTGGGCATTATAATAGTATAGAAAACCTCATTCAGTTGTTTTAAATTCTCTGCTTTTTTTCTCATTTCAGAATAGGCATAATTTGTTTTTGAGGTAGAAAATCTCTTCTTCCTCCACCTATGTGCCTCCTTTTGTTCTTACATGGAGACTTCAAAAAAACAGAAGCTCGCTTTCGTAAAGTTGAAGAACATCTTGATGAACAAATAGCCAATTTCAAATTCATGTATTTGCTCACATAAGTGAGCAGTTTCTTCTAAGAAACTCTGAAGGGACCAAAACCATAGTGGATTGTCCCTTGCTATTCAACCCTCAAAGTACTAATTTCCTTGTGTTTAACTTCGTTGTCACTGCTACCAAGGAAATATCCATTTCCACTGCATACAGTATATTTTAGATTTCACTCATCTTTCTGTGTTCACACAATTTGTGCTGTAGCCTCTCATTCACTTTTAAAACCTGTAATCATCATCTGTTTACAGAGGAGATTCCAAATGCACAGCTGTACATTAGGTGAGGGATGCTTTTTTCTGATGTCACATTGCTTAATTTATAGGTATTGCATCTTAGAATAAAGCATGCAAAGTAGCAAATTGATTATTAGCACATTTCAGTTGTTTCACTTCTATACTAAGATGACTATATGTTAACAAAGCCAGAGAATATTATTGAAAGGAAAAAAGGGAGAAGTTCAATATACTCAGATAGCCAAGATAGTACCGTAGACAATAACAAGAGAGAATATTAGCCAGCCTTCAGGATTTGTGTAGTTCACACTACCTGTCTGATGCTGAGATGTTTCCTCCCTTGGTGCTCCAGACTTACTAACAAAGTCAGGTTAGCAATGAGCTACTTCAAATAAAGAATTCCTTCTTTTCTTCTGCCCTTTCTCAGCCTTCGTTTCCCTCCTTTCTGTCTCTCATTTTTTTTCCCTTTCTTCATATATGAATAGTTTCTCATTTTACAAGTCAGCTTAGACTAATACTTCATCTAACTCCATAAGGGATGCGTATTTGGTAGGGATCTCAAGGTGAGAATCTTCTTTGGAAATAAATAATAGTAACTTCTATTCCAGGTTTATTAAAGGGCAGAATATCTGACCCAGTCCCCCAAAGATTATGTAAGGTACATAACACTACTCTCACCTTTCCATGCACAAACAAATTGAAACACAGAAAGGTGAGGTGTTGTGCCTTAGGTCACACAGACAGTGACAGAATGTGCTTCGAACAAAACCAATTTGCTCCAAGACTCCATCCACTTGGGGTGGGCTAATTGATGTAACTAAGAGCTCCCAAGTACTGGTGCTCTTATGCAATGAAGCCTGTTTCCTTCTAAAATATAAGTTTACTTATTCCCTCCAACCAGCCCCTCTTCAAAGGTGACTCAAGGACAAAGGCCCCCTCAGTCATATGACTTCACCCTCCACCGGGCACCGCAGTCCTCTCTGTCTCTCACTGATGAGGAGAGATCAAGATGAATGTTGTGCTGCAGGGTTTTATGGACAAGTGTAAGTGGCACACATCACCCCTGCTACATTCCACCAGCCAGACTCAAGTCTCAGCCTGGAGGCAAGGTGAGCTGTGCTGTCTAATTGTGGGCTGACCCAGCAAGGAAAGGCACCGGGTAGATGAAGACATAGAAATCTCTGCCCTAGTACTTCTGGTCCTGATGAAATACAGCTGCAAGAAAATCACTCTGTTTTGTGCAACTGTATATGTTGTTTGTGTGGTTAATTCTTATTCTAGGTTTAGGATCACTTGAGAAAAATCTTTGCTCTGCATGGGTGCCACTACCCACACCTGAAACAGAATAAACAAGAGAACAGAATATTGATCTAGGTTCTATTATGCCAAGAAGAGAAGATATGATTTCTTTTGCCTGAGGAAGCAGAAAGAGAAACTCATAAGTTAGAGACACTTCTAAGTGGTTTTAGTCGTTCAGCAATAGAAGTAACATGACTTTTAATGTCTTAATGATTTGTGGTTAAAGTAAGATAGATCCACCTTCCCCTTTGATCAGTCCCTTCATTTTGTGCCTGTTTCATTGCAAGATAGCACAAAGATTAGCCTCCCTTTTAACTCTCCTCTGGTCTTCA